CTCTCTCTCTCTCTCTCTCTCTCTCTCTCTCTCTCTCTCTCTCTCTCTCTCTCTCTCTCTCTCTCTCTCTCTCTCTCTCTCTCTCTCGCTGTATGCCAGGTACTGACCTGCGAAAGGTGCGCCTTGGTGCAGATGAGGACGGGCCAAAAACGAAGCTCGAGCTATGGCGTCCCAGGTAAGTCATCAGGTTAAGTCCCGTGGCCTCCGCCCGTCTCCTCTCTCTCTCTTTCTCGCTGCAGCTCGACTGCAGGCCTCTACTACTGACCTCGCGCCCAACACTGAAGTCTAACGCTAACAGCACCCAGGCGTCGACTAAGCTCTACCTCTACCTTGGAGTACTATCTCAAACTACCTACCAACTACTAGGCAGACCAGCAATAAATAAAGCTGGACTGCCTGGGAGGCCGACCATCCCAAGGCCAGCGCCTCAACCAGACTGGTGCCCAAACGAAACTCTGGCTCCAAAACTGCCACGGACCCATGTTAGGGTCTGAACTGCCCTGGCGCCTAATGAACCGCAGTCATCGAAACTGGCCTGAACAGCTGGCACCTAAGTTGAACGGTGTCGGTACTAACCAGGGGCCTGGCGCTAAACGAAACGACGCGCCAGGGCCTAACTGCTAATCTGGCCTAAACTGAGCCTGCTAACCCCTAGGACTGCTAACCTACCAGTAGGGCCTGCGGGGGCCCGTGTGGAACTGTGAATGCCACATCCCCCCCTCCTTGAAAGACCGAGCCTACCGGCGAGGGCGAAGCTGTCTGTTGGAGGACGGGACTGAAGTCCGGGTGGGACGGGCAGCCTCTTTCGCTAGTTGCCGCTTCTTGCAGTGGGCGTAGATAAGCGGGGCTGATGCTTGCAAATCTGCTCGCGAAATCCATCGTGTGCCGTCGTGGTCACATTGCTTGAAAGTAACCTTGTACTGCATTGGCTTGTTGCCATACTTGCTATGCGTGATGACCCAGTCGATCTCCTGGTGACCATCCATGGAAGGAGGGTCTTGCAATCGCCGGCCCGGGAAGTCGTCTCTCTTGGCTGGTGTGTAAGTACCCAGCTTAGAGGCGTGGAAGACTGGGTGGACCAGTAGACGCGGCGGGATGTCGATCATGAATGATGGGCCATTAAGCTCGTCGTCCGCGCCTGATTTGACGGTCCATGGTCCAAACCACTTGGGGAGGAGTTTGCATGAGACATGTTGTTTGAGTGCGAACTCCTCGAAGGAAACCCATACAAGGTCGGAGGAGTTTGCGTGAGACATCTTGTTCGAGTGCGAACTCCTTGAAGGAAACCCATACAAGGTCGCCGGCGAGGATAGGACACTGCAATGTCAGTTGGCTGGTAGGAACCACGCTGACATTCAGGTAGAAAAAGAGAATAAAAGGAATGAAAGTTCTGAATTTTTCTTCTTTTTTTCCATGTAGAAAATTTGAATTTGAGAAAAATAACGAAGATGTTATAGTTTTTCAAGTCCAATTTGCCAAAGCCCCGCTCTGTTAAATACGAAAATAAAGAAGAAATTTGAATTTGATAGGAGCAGCAAAAAAAAGAACACGAAAAAAGCGAACTTTCAGTGAAAGTTCAGTCATCCGGAGGTACGTGGGGCATGCTTTGTAATCAACCCAAGTTCGGTTTATTACAACGGGTAATTAGGGTAGACCATCCGCGGCTGGTTAGTGTAGATGGCGCCGGAAAATTTCCCTGACCGCGCCACTTACTCATCACGTGGTTGACCTAATTAGCACTAATAGATTCTATTAGCTCTCTATCCCCGATTAGGAGGTAGTGCGGTCCAAATCTACAGTAGCGGTTAGTTAATTAGCGTCAACCTTTGACTAGAACTTACCACTACTTAGCGCAACTTAACCTAATCCTGGTTAGTGCCTAACCTAGGTTAGTGCCTGACCTAGGTTAGTGCCGCAACCAATCAGTGGTGCTGGTTACTAATTAGCACAGCTAATGCCTGCTTAGCGCTCATCAGAGATTAGCGCCTAATCCTGGCTTATCGCTAATTAGTTATTAGCACTACCTGATAGTAGTTGCAGGAAACGAAAATTAAAGAAAGGAAAAAAAATCAGTGTTTAACTAATCAATCAATCAATTACTTAACCAATCAATCAATCAATCAATCAATCAATCAATCAATCAATCAATCGATCAAGATGACAACTTTATCGGAGCAGATCCTTGTCTGTGAGGTCTGCTCCAATATCAAACTGTCACATGCCTAATCGACATCGATCAAAACCAAGAACCGACCTCTGCAATCAAACTCGTTCCATTCACACTTTTCATGTATGTAAACAGCAGCGCAGCAAACTGGCGACATGCGCCCACTCAATACTCAGAGATATGGCATCCAAATAAGAGTTCACTTTCAACTGGCTATGGCGACTCAGCGCCCAAACAACTCACTGTTCACACACACCGGATCACCCTGGATATCCCACACGCATAACTCTGAACACTCGCACATACACACACACACTTCACACTAACTACAGCTATGGCAGCTATGGCTACCTCTACCCTATCGCTATACTAAGCTCCTTCTCTCTCGCCCACTTCGTCCTCCGGGCTCACTGCAGACCTCCTTGCACAAGTCGCTGTGGCAGCGCTTCCGCATGGCTCACGTAGGAATGAATGAAAGGTTGGGCGCTGCCTCTTGATTTATAATTTGGCAACTCGTTGGTTTGCCCTTTGCCATCGGCCCATGGTGCTCACAGTCCCCCGTGGTACTTGCTGGACCGGACTGGGACTGACTGGACCTTACCGTTGACTGACTGTGGACTCACTGCTATCCTACCGTCGTCGTACTGCAATCTCACTGCAGTTTAGTCCACCACTTGACTCGCCACTTGACCACTTGCCCACTTGCCGACCTTCTAGAAGGGCTACAGCTAGGCTTCTGGAACTCGCTAAGACTTCTACTCTATAGACCTACAGATCGAACCCCTGCTACCTATGGACCTATGACAGACCTACCAACTGTCTACGAATACACAGGTCACAGGTTCTACTCTCAGGATCTACACAGATACTGTACATGGGTAGGGTAAGGTCTAGGGATCGAACCCTGGGGTCTGCATTTGTTGCTGCAAAAGGTGAAAACCATTTCACTCCCGCCGTCCTAAATTTGAGGTTCTCCGAGAATCTTTCAGTCCAAGGCAGGACCTTTACCCTTCTTATCACGCTCGTAGGCTCTGACTATGTCGGGAGCTGTCTCTAGGATTTTTGTTCTCGTAAAGCAGCGGTCGTCTTCCGGTTCCTGATAAGCAAACCGGACCTTGTACTGTTTCTGGGGACGACCTCTACCTCCTGTTCTGAACACATCCTCATCTACAATGCTGTCAATGTCATAACTTCCATCCATATCCGGGTGACACACGGCAACCGCTTTGAAGCATGGAACACAGGGTATGTGTGGAGGTGTGTTGGGATCTCTATAGTGTAGGACGGTCCATCCTCTCCGCCCTTGACTTCTAGAACCGGCCACGGTCCTCTGTATGCAGGCAGCAACTTCTGCGAGATGTGTTCCTCAGGTGCAAACTCTTTAGACTTGACCCAAACTAAGTCGCCTACCTGAAATTGAGACGGGCGACGGTGCTTATTGGCCTGTTCTATCATTCTGTGCTGGGCCTTTCTGAGGTTCTCAACAACAGTTGCTAGTTCTTTCTCGTGCTGTACTGCGAACTCCATGGTACCGGGCGGTAGTCTGTGAATCTGATCCCGGTTCAGTTCTTCGAATGGTCTGCGTGGTCTAAAGGACTTATGCAACTCATTGGGAGTGCGGCAGGTGGATAGATGCACGCTGTTGTTGTATGCACTAGCTACCTTAGGCAACATCTCATCCCAGTTGATCTGATCTGGTCTAATGTACATGCACAGAACTTGCTGTAGGATCTTGTTCATCTGTTTTGTTTGACCGTTGGTCTCTGGATGACGGCCAGATGACATTAACAACTTTGATCCGTAAACTCTCATGAGTTCCTGCCAATTCTGGCTGGTGAAACGACTATCTCTATCACTAACTATCGATAATGGGACTCCGTTCTCACTAACCCAATGATGGAAAAACTTCTGAATAACTAATTTTGTGCATGCCTCTGCAGGCAAAGGAACAAAAACAGCATACTTGCTAAAACGGTCAACTACGACCATGACCTGGCTCTTGCCATGCCTACTCTTGACCTGAGTATCCATGAAGTCTATGGACACTGAGTCTCCAGGCTGATCAGGAATAGACAGCGGTCTGAGAAGACCTAGGGGCGTGCGTGTAGTAGTCGTATTCCTCTGGCACACTTTACAACTGCGGATATACTCTATGCAGTCATTCTTCATCCCCGGCCAGGTGTACGCACGCATCAGGTTGGCTATTGTCTTCTGCCAACCGAAGTGCCCCTCTGTGTTGTGGCATTCCCCTAGGATTAGAGTGCGGACTTTCTCACTATTGGGAACGCATAGGCGGTCGAATACATCTGTCTTCTCAAACAGTAATCCTTCTGTAGTGCGGTATTGTGGTTCGGTCTCTGGGGCCTCCTTAACTCTCTTGAGGAGGTCACTATAGATAGGGTCATGCGCATACGCTTGCTTGATTTTCTCCTGCAGGTCTCTCCCTATATCCAGATAATGTACTATGGCTCCAAAGTAGTCTGATCTCCTACTCAGAGCGTCCGCAACTACGTTATACTTGCCTTTCACTGGCTTAAGCTCAAAGTCATACTGGTCTATTTCAGCGGCCCACCTAGTTAGCTTAGGTGTCATCTTGGCCTGGGTCTTTAACCATCTAAGTGTTTCATGGTCGGAATACACTTTGAAGTGCCTCCCAAGCAGGTAATGCTTCCAATGCTCTGAGGCCTGCTTGAGAGCGTAGAGTTCTCTCTCGTACGTCGAGGTAGCTACCTTCTCTGAGGGCATCCTCGCTGACATGAACTCTACGGGTCTATAGCCATTGTCGTTGTCCTGCTGTAACACGGCGCCTATCCCATACTGACTCTCATCCGTGGTGACGACAAATGGCAAAGACGGATCTGCAACTTTGAGGACAGGATATTCTATCAATGCGCGCTTTAACTTCTTTAGCGCAGCTGTACAGTCTTTGTCCCTTGCCAGATTGCCTCTTTCTTTAGCAACCTGCGCAAGGGAGTGGCGATAGTGGAGAAGTTCCTCACGAACTTCCTATAGTAGTTAGCTAGGCCTAGAAACGACCGCAATTCTGTCAATGTGCGGGGCGTCGGCCAGTCTTTAATCGCCGCAATCTTACTGTCCTCTGGCTTAATGCCATCTCCGTCTAGTACGTGGCCCAAGTACAGGACTTGCGTCTTGGTCCACTCGCACTTCTTCGCAAGTTAGCCTCTCTAAGCTTCTCCAAGACCTGTCTGAGATGACCCTGACGTTCTTGGAGGGTCTTGCTGAAAACTAAGATGTCATCTAAATAAACTACTACAAACTTGTCTAACCAGGGTCTAAACAAATCATTCATACAACGCTGAAAAGTAGCTGGCGCATTGGTTAGTCCAAAGGGCATCACTATAAACTCATAGTGCCCATATCTAGTCCGGAATGCAGTCTTGTACTGGTCATCAGGATGGACTTCTATCTGGTGGTATCCGGACTTCAGGTCTATCTTAGAGAAGTACTTGCAACCCTGCACCCGAGCTAGGAGATCGTCTATCCTGGGCAGCGGTTCAGCATTCTTCACAGTAATCGCATTCAAACCCCTATAGTCTATACACATTCTCAACTCTCCTTCCTTTTTGGGGACAAACAATACTAGTGCTCCAAAAGGAGACGAACTGGGCCTGATCCAACCTTTCTCGAGGAGCTCGTCTAACTGCTTGCGCAACTCCTCTAACTCTCTAGGGGACGTCCTGTAGACTGCCCCCTTAGGAGTTCTACTGCCAGGCTCTAACTCTATTCTGTGCTGGATGGGTCGCGACACTACTCATGTCGGCGACTCAGTCAAGTCTTTGAACTCTTCCTGCAGCTTGGCTATGGTTGGATCTGTGGAACTTACTTCTTCCTTGGCTTCAGTGACAGGTCTAACATACACTACAAAGACCTGGTCCTCTAACTGCTCCTTTTTCACCAATCGCGTGGAATGCGGGAGCACTGAGACAGCAATGTGCCAGGGTGTTATCTACACCTGACACATGAAACAGGCGGGCAGTCTTAACCTCGCCTGATGGGCTAGGGAGCCTACACTCATGCTCTCATATGGAGTGTGGCCCCTGCTGCCTCTCCCCAATCTATTCCTAACACTACGTCGAAAGGAAGATCATCATGTACGAGGAGAGTCAGGGAATGGAGAACTTTCTCCACCTTCCCATCCTTCTCTAGGCGAAAGTACGCCTGGGCTCCCTCTACATAGTCCTCAACTCGCATTGTGCGGTTGTCTGCGAGGACACTGACTATGGGGTCTGCTAACTGATGGACTTTTAATCCTAGCCTTAACTTTTTCAGTGCTCTGCGGCTGATATAACTACGGGTAGCCCCTGAGTCTATAAGGGCTCCTACTCTACTTCTAAACACCTCTATGTCCACTAAGATCAGTTGTCCCTTACTCTCCTTCTTCATTTTGGCCCAGGCTGGCATCCTCTCCTTCAGCACTTCTGCCACACCTGTGAGGGACGTGCCTAGAGAGACGCTAATACAAGCGGTCTCTGAACAACTAGCTAGGCACGGGCCTGCAACCTCTGCCAGAGGCTCATGTGGGTTGGGAGTGTCCTGTTCGCGCGCGCTCACTTCTCCACATGGCCTTGAAGTAGGGGCAGTTGCGACCCCTACTGGCCGCTGCCTTTTGACTGCTGAGCAGCCCAACGGGCCTGTCTATACTTGGGACAATATTTGATAACGTGGGCCGGGTCAGCACATAATACGCATTGACCCTGGTCTACGCATTTCTGCCATAAACGCTGGTCCAAGCCCAAGTCTTCCCAGGGCCTGCCCTGTGGCAAGCCTGGGTGCCAACCTCCTTGAGGTGCCCTTCCACCTCGTCGCTGTGGGGACCGATTAGAACCTTGACGATTTGGCGGGGGACCTTGACCCCTTCCTCCCACTTGGCGGTTTCCTTGGCCGCCAACCCCTGTGCGCCCGGTCCTCGGCCTCCCATGGCCTGGCCCCTTTGGCCCTAGCCTCCTCCTCTACTTTGCGGCCTCCCTCGAGCCGCAACAGCAGCATAAGACCTCCCCTATCCCACACTATTGTCCTCCTCCTCAAGGCCCCACTCAATCTGGCTATACGGGACCTCATCGGTACTACCTTCCTCTAAGGTAAGGATCATATGATCCTTGGACCTCACTTGGCCTGAGATGGTACAGCCTTTCCACTTCTTTCCCTTATCTAAGTCCTTGCGCTAGAAAGTGGAAACTGGCATAGACTTCGACTCATACAGAACGGCTTCTCTACTCAACGCATCATAAGTGATGTCAGCCTGTTGAGATTTGTCAAAGAAGTGCCCCCTCAAGGGCTCTGGCATGACACGATAGAATAACTGGACCAATTGGGGCTCAGTAACCCCGTGGTCTGGGACGGCCACCAGGTCGTCCATAACGCCCTTGAGTGCTCACGCACTCCTCCACTGTCGCGAGTGGATCGTTTGTAACTTATCGGAGGCCCTGACGCCTCTCGTTGGATCAGCGAATCACTCCCCCAGGAGCTTAAAGAACTGAGGAAGGGAGGTGACCTTTGAGTATGCAACCAGGTTGTTTTCACAACCGGCTGCGTGCGCAAGAGACCTGGCGAATCTAGCCGCTTCATCCTTGAGGGCCTGGAAGGCCACGAGGACTTGCTCCTCCATCAGGATGTGCTGTAAATAAACATAATTGTTGACACTGGCTTCCCAGTTGTCAAAGTTCTCCTCCTTCTTGCCCCCGTATGCGTCTGGGAACTTGAGCTTTACAGGCTCTTTACGGGGTCTGACTTCGCCCTCTACAACGGCTATTGCTTTGGCACCTTCAATGGTGCCTTCGCAAAACTTCCCCACGTTGTCCCTCAGTTGCTTGACTTTGCCCCCAATGTGGGTGACTATATCTCGCGCAAAGTCTCTAAATCCCGACCGCATGGCACTCAAAGCTACGTCTTGGCTCCAACTGGCTTGGCACTCCTGCATCCACGCTGTGCTCAGCACCTCCAGGTACCCCAATACCTTATCCCACTTGGTCTTGTCATCTGCCTTGGCCTCCACTTCTTTCCTACACTCCTGCACCTTCGCCACCTCTGCGGTCAGTTTGTTGACTTCATCTCTCCTCCTTTTCTTCTCCCTCTTCATCCTCAGTTTCCATGCCAATTTTTGCTCCTCCTCCCTTTCTCGCCATTCCATAGGGTCCTTCATTGCTGCTAGCTCACTGGCTAGCGCATCCCTCTCATCCTGAGTCACATATGACTCCGCCTCCTCGTCTTCTCCCAACGATAAATTGGCGACCCACTCGCTTATCTTTTTCTCCATTTCTACATCTGTATCCCTCTTCATCGTGCCACTACTCCCTTCTCCACTCTCAATCCTCATTCTTTCTTTTTCTTCTTCTGCTGCTACTTCTGCTTCAGCAGCCTTTCTTCTTTCTTCCTCCTCCTGTTGAACTCTCTTCATCTCCTCCTCCAATCTCTTCATCTTCGCCGCCTGCTCCTCTGCGATAGCCTTTAGCTTCGCCTGCTTCTCGAGCTCCTTCCTCTCTTTGTTTTCTTTCACTAGGGCGGCCATCTTTTCTTGCTGCTCAGGGGTATAGGAGCTAATGGTCTTCCCACTACACAATTCCATTATGGTGATAAGTGTACAACCGGATTAGTGGTTCCAAACCTCACCACGTAGACTTTAACCCCTGACTGACAAACCTACTGACACAATCTAAGGACTCACAGAATCCTGACAGGGATCCTGCCAACTATGGTCTCTAGCCTAGACCTATCTATGGTTGTCACTACTAGACCTGTTGCTGATCAGGAGGCATTTAAGGAGATCCCCCAAACTCCTCAAAAATTATTTAACGTCGCAGATAGGACGACGCGATCAGCAGGTCTCTCAAGACTTAGACGGTCTGTTGTGCAGCCCACAGCTCGGATTTCGGGCCTACCGTGCCACACCGAGCAGCCCGCCGGTCAGTACCGGTCCTTGGGAGGGTTTGACCTCCGGGTCAGTCGAGTCGTCAGACACAGCTTTTAACCCTACTCATCCCGTGTGGGTTTGGTCAACAAGACCCTATCCTTCATCCACAGAGTACTATCACCTAGGACAGAAGAGACTCGATGCAGAAAGAATAGACAGACAGACTGGACTCAGCAAGTACCAAGGGGTGTGTGTACATCCATAGGGCGAGGGATAGGCTGAGGGCTTGGCGAGATGTTACCGACTCCAGCTTGGCCAAAGTCTTGGTCAGCGCCTTGGTCAACGGCCTTGGTCAACGCCGGTCAACGGCCTTGGTCAACGCCGGTCAACGCTGCGATCAGCCCCTGGTCAACCCCCGGTCAACTTCGGCAACCGCCGGTCAACACCTCCGGTCAACCCTCTCAGTCAACCCTCCGGTCAGCTATGGCTGCCGGCTCCTCTTCCTCGCCAACCCTCTTCTCCCTTTCACTTTCCTCGCCTCCTTTCACCCCGGCTGTCTCCTTCTTCTTTTTCTTTCTTTTTTTTTCTTTTTTCTTTTTTTGATCGGCCCATTCTTCTCCTCTCGGCTATGGCCTCTTCCTCTCCCTTCTCGGTCTCTCCTCTGTCCGGTTTCCCTCTCCTTCCTTCCCTACTCCATGGTGATGCTCCGCGGCTATAGCCGCTTCTTCTTCCTCCACGTGGGACTGCACAGCTCGCTTCACAGGTATGTGACAACCAAACTCGTATCGCTCATCTCTCTCCCTCTCTCTCTCTCTCTCTCTCTCTCTCTCTCTCTCTCTCTCTCTCTCTCTCTCTCGCCGTAGCGATATCTTCAGCGCAGCAGGTACGTAGTAACCCAATCTTGTATCGCTCAACCTTTCCTCTCTCTCTCTCTCTCTCTCTCTCTCTCTCTCTCTGTCGCACTCTTCTTCGTTGTGGTCTTCTTTTGCAGGTGCGCGGCGGCTTCTCCAACCTCAGGTCCGCTATGGTGGACTACAACCTTCAGCGGCCACCTCTGCTATGGCGCATCAGGCCCTGCACACGACGGCGCGCATGGAATAGCGGTTACCGACTCCGATACCACCTCTCATAAACAATACAAAAATAGCAGTGGAAGACTGAATTGGATGGTCTGGTCTTTTATTATTTCCATGTGCCTATTTTTCATGAGGACCAAGATCTGACCCAGCACAGACAATCTCAGGACCTGACTGCAACCATCATCACACGGCGTGAATGGCTCAGCGTAGCAAACATAGGTGGTGCGCTGAGCCTGACCACATACACGGACTAAGATGGGGGAGAAGAGACGAAAGGGAGGATCAGCCATCATAGCCCGATGAATCCAGTCTCCAATGTAACCCTAATGTCACTGCTCATACTATGTCAAGTCGCAATGTCCCTGAACTGGGCAACGCCCGAAAGTCTCTCTCTCTCTCTCTCTCTCTCTCTCTCTCTCTCTCTCTCTCTCTCTCTCTCTCTCTCTCTCTCTCTCTCTCTCTCTC